CCCTCAAACTTTCATTGGTTTCCTAAAAATGTTGTGGGTGTTGTTTTTGGTTTTTTTCTTGTTGGCAATTGGGTGACCTATGAAATACCATAAGCAGCACAAAATGTTTATCCAGTGACAGCCTGAGGTAGCACAGACAGCTCTTAGCGGGTTTATTTTCATTATTACAGCAATTTTAGGGCTGCATGCTGCAATTTTCACTTGCAGTGAGGTATTAAATTGAAATTACCCCAGATGTAATTGTCACACAAAATAATTCTGGACATGCTGGATTTAATGCTTTTCCAAGCTGTGGTTTTTATTACCCAAGCAAGTGCCAAAGAAACACTTGTAGTCAACAACTTAAACTGAAATCTGCCTTCTGAGGAGCCAGGATGTTTAGCTGCAGTTACGCTGGTGGGGGAAGGAAAAAAAAATAAAAAGGAACCAACTGGAGGAAAGTTTGGGAGGGCTCCTGAAGGAAGGGCCCAGGGGTAAAATCCCGAGCAAGGGAAGAGTCAGGGCCACATAGGGACCCCAGGGGAGCCCTGGCAGATGCAGCAGCTCAGCCTAACCCTTTGTGGGCTGGTTTTTGGGGAGGCGAGTCCCACCTGCGGTGCAGTGCTGGTCACAGAGCTGAAGCGAGGCTGGGGGTGCTGCCAGGTCCCTGCCCGCTCCGTAGCGGCGGTGCTGTCATCAGTCCCGTCTTTGGGATGCGATGAGCCTCATTAGACAGAAGTCAGGGGTGAGTCACAGAGCCAGTGACCGAGCTCTGGAGGTGCTCATATATGATGTTTCAGTGTTTTCCTCGCACATGTTGTCTAATTAGGCTGATCGGGTGCATAGACATCTGGAGTTTTAAAATCGAGTTGTCACACACGAGGACCCTTCGTCACAGCGCTGGCAGGCTCAGCCAGCGTGCAATGTCCCTGGCACTCCCACTGGTGGGTGATACAGCACGCATCCACTGTGGCTTTATTTATTAGCTTCTTAACTATTGTAATAACATAAGTAAAGTATTGATGACTTTGTATTTTCCACCCTCTTTCATTCTTTTCCAGAAATAGCTTCCCTTGTTTGCTCCACACAACCCCTCCTGATGCCGCGCTGGAAGTGGGTGGAAGGACACGCATCTGGGAACGGTTAGGAGATAATGGTGTATAAATAGCACAGGGAGAGCAATCGTCGTAGTCTGTCCCTGCAGCTCTGCAAAGCAAGCGAGAGCTGAGCCTGAGCGCGGCAAACCAGGCGTCGAGCAGCAGCAGCAGCAGCTTCTTTCTCATCGTATCAGGTTGGGAAAGCTCAGTTGAAGTTGGTAAATGGATGATGCAAGAGGCCACAGTGACCCAGTCGAGCAGGTCGGGGCATGACCCGGTGCTGTTTAGTAATTCAGAAACTCTCTGCTTTTAATATCCCTGAGATGTAACTTTGATGAATGAGGGTGTTGTCGCACGGGGCAATGTCACTGAATTTTCTCCTGCATGTGGAGTGGCCATGCAACTTTAGTGTCCTTTGAGGATGGACCTAGAATTAGAATTGGTTGAATGATGAATCTTGCAGGTTTGGTGACTATGCCGAAAGAACAGGGTAGTAATGAGAAATCTGCTTTGGTCAAGTTGAGGCAGGATTTGGGAAAGGTTTTGATGAAAGAAGGCAGCAACCAATTTAGTGTGAGCTTGCAAATATTTTGTCCCAACCAAGATGTCATTTTTTTCTTATCTTTGGAATTATTTCACCTGTTGTGCACTCTTTTTTGCTTTCATTTAGGTCACTTTGTAAATAATCAGAAATGCAATTTCAAAGTGAAAAGGTGGATAACCTCATTAAAAAGAATCTCTCAAGCATTTTGGCATTTCTGAGGTGCAACATGCCGTGCTGATAGCACGGACCAGCAATATTTGGCTCCTGTTACTTGCTTTCTCCTCCCCATCCCCACCTTAATTTTTCCATCTGTTTTTACTTCACCTTGCAGATACCGTGGTCCAGAGCCTTGGGGGAGCAAACTGATGGTTTCTTGAAAGAGTGGTTGCTCAGTTCTTTTTCGTGCTTCATTTGAGGGTGGTAGTGATAGCACCTGGGCAGTGACATAAGAGCAGGCGAGTGGCATGTGGATGGGAAGGGGCATGACGGCTGTGATGGGGAGCTCCTCAGGCTGGGCACGAGGTGCCCTCCTGCCACTGGTGTGTCATCTTAAGGCCATCACAGGGGCTCACAGGGACCTGGAAAGAGCAGCACAGATGTAAGAGGTGTATCTGGATTTCCTGAGCTAGGAATATGTTGGCGTCAGTCTATAAAAGCCACAAACTTCATCAGCCAAAGGTCAGAGTAATTACAGAGTCTACGATGTTTCCTCCTGGGAAGGAGGCAGCAGGGGCTGTGGTTGCAGTTGTGGGTTTTCACCTTCTGCAGGCTGGTTTGGAAAGTGTTAAATCCCAATCTTCCCTGTACTCAGGTTATGCCATTAAGGCAGAATGAATAAGGAAACAATCAATTTAGAAACAGGACTTGGCTTACCTTGCAACCGGCTGGTGGAAATCGCAGCCTCGGGAGGTGGGAGTGAGGTGGCTTGGAGCTGCACTGATGCTCTTACCTCTGCTGGTGCCACCAGCCAGGTGGGTGCAAGAGCACTTGGGCCCCTGCCTCAATTTAAGAAAGAAAAAAACCTCAGCATGATAACCCAGTACTTCTGGAAGGACACCAAAAGCCCCATGAAGCTCACAGAGTCACCGAGGCAGCGTAAGATTTGCAGCTGGCCTTCCACAAGCACCTCACTTGTGCCTTACCTTTGGCGTGAAGGACCCGTTTCTGATTCCACCGTGCTAACGTCAGTGAGGAGTATCTTTGCTGAAGGTGGCGTTGCCCTAACTAATAGAAAAAGGAAGGGCGTTTGTCTTCCCACTATCTGTTGGTGGGGGAGGCTGGTGGCGCCAGGAGGGTGTGCTAGCTTGGAAGCAACGGTTAGAGAAAAGGGCTGCAAGCTGGGTGCCTCCTTTCTCATCCCTTCCTATTAATGACAGTTAAGCTCTTTTTGCTGCTTTAATCCTCAGTGACTTACTTGGCAGTGGCAGTTTCTGGACTCCTTCAGAAAGGATTCATGCAGAAAAACTTACGTTTTTTTTAATAGTGGCTGGAGGACCATCTACTGATGGACTCTGCTGCCTGTGTTAATGAAGTGAGCTCCCACTTTGAATTCCAGCACCTGAACGGCCTTTTCCTCTTTCTCCCTCCCCAGGTGTACAACTTTGCACTATCGCCAGGACCTCCCGCCAACCAGCGTCATCATCACCTTCCACAACGAGGCCAGGTCGACCCTGCTAAGGACGGTCCGGAGGTAAGAGCTCCCAGTCTGCTCTTAAAAAAGGGTGAGTGGGCTAGAGGTTTTCGTGAATAAAAACAGAATCTGTTTGCACTCACTGCAGCAATGGGACCAGACCTACCAGCTACGGTCTCAAATGATTACCAGGAGAAATTAGCGTGAAAGCTGGTCTCTGAGAAGTAGGTTTTACAGTGGGATGGTCAGGAAAGTGAGTAGCTGTGCTCCCTTGCAGGGTCTAGCACGGAACATTCTTGAGGGAGCAGCAGAAGATTAGACAGAGTCTGGGATAAGAGGTTTTATATCCAGCTGGGTATCAGTGCTCAGCTGTGTTTTGTCGCAGTCCTCTAGGGACAGCTATTGCTCTGCAGATGTCTGCTCCGGTACTGCTGTTTGAGCTTCTCCAGTGACCCATCGAGTGGCAGAAAGACTTGCTAATTGAGAAGCCCTAATGGTGCACATGCAGACTAGATTTTCAAGGACGGTTTCTGTACTCCTCTGGATACATGGTGGAGTGCTCTGGGCATGTGGCCATTCCTTCATTTGTCGGTTTGTTCTTGGCTGTGTTTTGCTGTAGTGGATAGACTAAAGGCTTCATTTTCATCACAGGTTTTTGAAATCAGCGTTTAATCCCAATGTGTGCCTTGAATCTGCAAGTTTTCTTGTGGGAAGATTTAGTGAGGTGTGTCCACCGTACCTTCGAGGGGTTTATCTCCAGGTTTCGGCTGGTGGGTTCCTCTGTAGCGAGCTTGGGTGTGTTTTGCTCTATGCCAGTAATAAGTGTTTTGCAGGTTGTGTCTCATGCCCGTATAGTGAATGTTTGTGCCCTGCTGCAAGCCTTGTCAGTTAAACCCTGGCATCCCCAGGGGCCCCTTGCCATCGTCGGTACTGGTCAGACTGGAGTTGCTGGCTGGGGGGAGACTTCAGCTGTGCCCTGTTCACTGTCACGTCCTCACTGGGCTGTTCTCTGAAAACAGCATCCTTCCTCAGGTGAACGCACCCAGTGCCACAAGTGAGTTTGACAGTCCTGAAATTAAATTCCTGCTTTGCTCTATGGTTTCATGCCCAATCCCATCTCCTTCACTTCACACTTAATAATCTGTCACTGCTTTCTCTCTCTAGGGTGTATGGATTTCGGGTGTGCATAGCACTGATGCTTGCTGCTGTGTACCACCTCCTTGATCCTGGACCTTCTCTTTTATCTTTACAGTGCCTTGCATAGGTTTGCCATTCTCCAGAACCCATTGTAACAGAGATGGCAAGGCAAAGCCAAGTGCAGTCCTCTAGCCCCTGAGATATAGGATGCTTATAACATGTAAAGTGCAGGGATGGACCTTAATCTCATTTCTCCCCATAACTCGGCACTTGACTGTCCTGGCAAGTACGATCATGAGTGATGTTGTCACATGAGAAATGTTAGACCCATGATACGGCTCTTATGCCTGGATCCCCCATATCTGGCTTCATTAGAGAACTGTTCATTGCAATGATGCCATGGTTAGAAATATGGGTAGTTTTGAATTTTTCCTTCTTCCTCTAGGATATTGTCCTCCGAAGTTTCTGATTTCCAGCTATAAAAAGACTTTCTTCCTTGTTCCTCTTCTTTTCTTTGCTTGACTTGATTAGTTGGCTTTACTGCCTTCCTTACCCAGTTGCATGTGATTTCCACCACAGCTTTGCCCCTGTGCACCGCTCCTCCCCGCTCACATGCCCCGGCGATTCCAGTGCTCGTGTTTTGTCTGTGGGGAGGTCTTCCCCAGCTCTGGGGCCCCTTCTGAGCCCTCTTTCCTGTAGGCTGATCTCCAAACGGTGCCAGAGCCCTGTGGAGCATCCCACTGAGCTGCACCACAGAGGCAAGCCTGGGCAGTGAGGAACTGAGATGACAGCCTTGGGTCTCCATCTCCCCGCCTCTCCCTGGGCTGAGATCCTGAGCTGACCCTCTTTTTTCTAGTCCTCATGGTTTGGAGGTGGCCTCCTGCCATCAGGGTTCACCATTTTCCTCCTGGATGCAGTACTTAGAGGCTTGCTTTGATCCAACCAGCCCTGGGGGTACCAGCCCTTGGTGGCAAATTGCGCTGGTGACGTGGCTGCTGCTCTGCTCCTCTCCGGCCATGATTGTGCACGTATTGCCACCTCCCTGCCTGTTTTTGGACCCAGCTGAGAGCTCGTCTGCCTCTTCAGCCTCTGTAGGTTAATTTGCTGTGCCTTCTGACTGCTCTGTTTTTTCCCCCTTGCTTGGCAAATGCTTAGTTTAATTAGATCTTCCAGAGAACTCCATCCCATGGTGGCTGTAACAACATGGATCATTTTCCATGGCCATTCAAAACAAACTCTGTCTTCCTGACACTGCTTTGTGCCTTTTGGAGTAGTCTGTGGCCAAGTGTCTCCAAGCACTTTGAGCATGGCAGTGAGTAAAATGGGCACCTCTTCTACCCTCTTCTCCCCAGTACATCTCCATGGTGTGTTCTTGGTATAACCCAGATGGACAGACTGAGGAACAGAGAGGTGATTTGTCCATGGCTGGTGGAAGATTTTGGCTTGCAAACCTGGTTTCCTGAGTTCCAGCAAGTTGGGTTTTCCAGCCTCATTGCAAAATGAATGTTCTCAGCTAACCGCCGTGGCAGGAGCAAGAAACAGGGCAAAGGGCCAGTGCTTGGCTTGTCCAAAGCCATGGGGTGATGGGGCACCGGCCCCCCAAAGGGAGCACTTCTTACAGGACCCCATGTAAACACAGAGGGGTGGCAGAGGGAAATGCTGGTGAAGGTACCCCATAGCAGAGGAGGAAATCAGCTCTTGCAGAAGGGACCATGTACCTGATGAGCAGGAGGGATTTTTGGTATTCCTATGCTTTTCCTAGGTGCTTGAGAGCTTTAATGCTCACTGAGCGCTGAGGCTGAGCTGTATCGCGGGCTCAGTGTGTTGCGTTTGGCTCTTGGTGAGGATGCGAGTGCTCTGACCTGTGAAGCAGAGGCACCAGTATGTGGCCTCCGCAGCAGCCCTTACGCAAGTCACGTTGCAAGCATTTGTGACAGTTCGTTTACGAACAACTTGTGTCGTCAGAGCTATTGAGAAAAGCTAGTGGACTGTGTTGAATAATGAATTAATTTAAAAGTTTCATGATCTTTTCTCTGACCATTTGCCAGCTGGAAGAAAAGGAAGGGAAAAAAAAAAAAAGAAAAGCTAAATTAACCAAATGCCCAAATCTCTGCAAATGATGTAGTCAGCGTTTATAAATGCGTATGTAACTATGCTTGTGAATACGTACAAGTGTCCAGGTAGTAGGGGATGGGTGTCATGAGAAAGAGAAATAGAAAAGGGGAGAAGAGGGGAGAAAGGAGGTGATGGTGAATAGCAAAGTGGCTCTTGAGATTTTTGTTTTTAATTTTTTTTTTACCATGTACTGCAGACAGTGAAGAAACTGCCATTGGGTTGTTGTTTCAGCCACTCACTTTTTGAATGACCTTGGGCAAGTTTCTTATCCCCCCGCGGTTCAGTTTCACATATTTCAAGCTCCAAGGCTCCATGCATTAAAGATGGTGAGAGTCTCCAACAGTACAGGGCTGGGACCATGTCAGTAAACCCAAGGAGGGAAGGCAGGAGCACGGGAGAGAATAAGCAATACAGAGGTTTGAGGGTTTTTTAAATACAATTTCTTCTTTCCTCTCTTTCCATCCTGTGCTCGCCTAGATTTAGGAAGGGGATCCAGCTCATTGCCCAGCTCTAGCTGCCCAGCTCCTCCAGACGGAGAGCTTAAGGATGTCCCCCAAGCAGTCACTGGAGGAGAAGGAGCAGCGTGGCCAGGAAAGATGTGCTCCTTGTTACCTGGGTCTGGGCTGGGTGCTGGGGCTCTCAACAGCGATGGGTAACAGTGCCTCCCCATCGTGTAATCCCATGTGGTTAGGGGGATCTACTCCGTGCCTTGCTTATGAGAATATCACCCTCTTTCCTTCCCATCCCTCCTCTGCAGGCATTGGCACGCTCACAAGCCGAGATGCGGCGACCGCTGCGTGGGCAGTCATGCTTTCAGGGCTTGGTGTGGTGTGGCATCCCCTGCTGAGGTCTGCAGGGAGCAAGGCTTGGTGTGTGCCCCATTCCTGGGAGCATCCCTGGGAGCGGTGGGGAGAGAAACGCTGCCTGCCCTGGAGGCAGGGCTGGGGGAGGCAGAACTGCAGGCAGCCTGGGGTGATGCTCTGCTCCCGGACCATCCGAGACCATCATACTGTGACTTTCTCCAGCAAGGCAATTTTGGGAGCTTGATGGCCGGTCAGCACTGGGCAGGAGAGGAGCATGGGAGGCTGTTGTGGTGGCAACCTGCCAGGCAGAGGGTGAAACAGTCCCGTTTACTCTGCTGAGTGGTCTTTATTTATTTATTCTTCAAACTTGCAGCTGGGGACCTCAGAACAGGAATAAGGAGACTTAATTATTTAGCTCTCACTGACAAACCAAAACACATCCTTTGGCAAAAGTCCTGATGCGAGTGCTGTGAATACCACATCAAATATTTAGATCATTAATTAGCAGGGAGACATCAGGCCTTTCATTTTCCAGTGCTTGTAAGTAAGAGAAGTGACGTCCTGGACAGCCAGCACCTCGCACCTTCCCCTTGTGCTGCTACCTTGTCTGCATCCAGACACATCTGAGGCAGGGAAATGACAAAGCCGCGCGCCTCCTTCCTTAGGCAGCGGCGGCACCGTATAGAGTCTGTGCCATAACTGAAATGAGCCTGATTAAAGAAGCAAAAACAAGCCAGGTGTTGTGCAGAAACTGTATAATTAGCACTTTCTGCTGACTATTTTTTTATTTCTTTTTTTTTCTGCTTTTTGCTTAAACCCTGGACTTTTTTTTCTTAATTTGCTAATCATCTCTTGCGGTGACTAAGTACACAGCCCTCCATGCGCTTTTACCTTTTGATGTTAACATAAGAGAACTCTTGAATTTCAAAGAGCTTGGTGGGTATTTGAAAGAATAAAATGTGAAAGCCGCAGTGTAATCAAAGCTCATTATGGTTATTCTTGGTGTGATGTCTCTCTTCCTACATAATTAGCCATTTTAGGTTGTTGAAGCAGTTCATTCTGGCGGGCATTTTCTCTCTGCGCTCTCGGTCTGATTTCGATAATTGTGACCCTTGGACCTTTCGACACTTTTTATACTCCCAAAGGTGTTTTTTTTTTTTCCCCTAACAAGTCCCAGTATGTTGCCATGGAGAGAATTAATGGGTTCATGAGTTCCCGAGGATCGATGTCCACCTCTCTAAAGGAACTGGTATTCTGGGTGATGACCAAAAACATACCAACCTTTGGTCAGAAGATCCAAACACCTCCCTGCAAACATTTTCCATGTCTTACACGTCAGGGTGACTTTTGCACTGGTATTTATTTGGTGATGAAATTGTTGAATCCAGTGCTTATCTTTGGGTAGGTGGAAAAGGATCCCAACAAATTGTTGAGGAGGATGAAAGAAGGACCTTACGATGAAAATTTAAGGTGAAGTTCTCCATGGTTACGTCTGTATAACGTCTGCTAATTCCATTGAAACAAAGAAAAGTTCAGCATTGACTTTTCAAGATAGTTCAGCAGCGAATCTGGTCTTACGGGGTTGAATAAGCATAAGCAATTTCTGGACTAGAGGCATGAGTCTTCATTTTGATGGTAACAGGTCTTTCAGCGATTTAAGGGAGAAAGAGTTGTGATCTCTGGCTCAACAGAACTTAAAAGCTGTTTTGATTTGTTAAAATATGCCCATCACTGCAGTATATCTACCTATGTTTGATTTCAGGGAAAAAATTCTATAAATAACAGGGGGACTTCAAAGCACTATAATATTAATTGTCTTCTGATTTTACCCATATAAAAGGAAAAAAAGCCATGCACGCATATAAAGAAAGAAAAGAAAGTATAAAAAAGAAAAATCAAAGCTGAGCAAAGGCACAAGTAATAGAAAAGCTGTCTTTGAATTTTTAAAAGTGCTTTTATAGTCTATCTGAAAAAAAAAAATTCCCCGCAACGTTGAAAACGTGCCATATTCGGTGCCTCTGTTTCCCATCCTTCCTGAGGAGCACTGCAGGAGGGGTGTTTATAATCTCCTGTGTTTTCAGCGGCATGGGTGTGTTATCGTGTGATTAATAGAGCACAGGTAGAAAATGCGTTGGAGATGAGAGTTTGGCTTTGCTGAAAAGCCGGCGCGCTTGCTCTCAGCTGCGTTGGGAAGCACACTGCAGTCGTGGCGTTGCAGCCTTTTCTGCGGATCTCCTCGTGCCTGTATCAAGTGGCCCTTAGCTTAGCGGCAATTTTGGTGCTTGCAGGTGTCTGTGCACAGATTTGCAAGAGCAATAACGAGCTCAAAGCCTGCTGAAATCAGTGGACATCAGATTCCTTGGAGCCATGGTAGACCCAGCCTTTGGACCACCCTCACCAGGGCTTTGTTCACGTGGGATTTGGGATAGTGTCACGTTGTGGGTGAGTCCCACAGGCGAAGTGATGGGAGAGGGCTGTGATGGTGCTGGGTGAGGCTGCTTTCAGTGCTGGGGGATGCTGCGTCACTCATGGTGGTGTCTGTCATTAACCCCATGGAAGGATGATGATTCACAGAGCTGGGCCAAGCCTTGGAGAGGTCCCTCCCTCATCAGCCTGCGTGCTGACTTTTTCCCCCTTGCTCTGGTCAACCCTCTGCATCCCACAGATTGCCATCGTTGGCATTCGGGGGACATCTTCCCTGATTTACGGGGTGGCAAGCCGAGGCACGGAGTTGGCAGCAAACGGCTTGACCTGGAAACAGTGGGAGCCTGCAGCTGAGCCAAGACTGGGCTGTACGTCTCCCCAGCCCAGCGCCTTGAAAATGGTCCATGCTGGATTTTCTTCCATAAGAGGTGCCCTGGGGGGGAATTCTTCCAAGTCACTGAGTGCTGCTATGAGCCCAGGTCTGAGTCTACAGCCCAGTGCAGTGGTTTTGGTTGAGTTATTCTTGCTGGTACCAGCAAAAGCAGAATCAGCCCCTTTGTGACCACCTTCCTGTAGAGTTAAGCCCTGCATTGCACTTCTGGCAGGCAAATCTATGGGGGAGACTGGGCGGAGGCAGGCTTTGAATATTCAAGTTGCCCGCTGCCTCCCCCTCACACGCTCTCGGCGGGTTATTTATTTATTTTGCTGGCTTTTTTACAAGTCTGCTTCTTTCCTGCAGGTTTCACCAAGTTAGGTTTCCAGGCAATCAGCGCTTGTTAAATATTCCACTGAGCATGATATTGCTCTCCTGTCTCTCTGTACTGATGCTCAGCTACAGTAATTTGCTGAACTCAGCTCTCGCATATGGGGATTTTTTAAAAATAACAAACCTATTAATAATAATAATTAAAAAACACTTGACAGGTGGGAACAGCACATCTAAATTGCTCTGTGTGCCCCAGCGGGAGGAGGGGCATTCAGCCACTTTTTCTAATACTTTGTGCGGGCTGCTGGCATTGGCGAGGCAGTGTTGTAAAACCCTGCTTGGTGCAAGCCTTAGCGATGCTGGGGTGGCCACAGCAGCTCCTGGCTGGTGGGGGCCGCACTCTCACTG